TTTAGAAATGCAATTTTAAAATATCTCATAGTTTATTTATATACTCCGTATAACTTTATTTATATACTCCCTCTGTCCACCATAGATCTTCCCAGATACCATTCACAGGGTCAAACTTTACTCACTTTGTTTGCTCAATTTTACTAGTCATTTCATAAAATAATATAGTCTTGTCACCTCTAGTTTTGTAGAACTTTTCATGTAGTTTATTACTATATAAATTTTATTTTAAAATTTTACTCCTATAATCAATTAAATTGAATTGAAAATAAAGTCGGTCAAGCCTCGTAACGCGTAATGGGAAGATCATACATGGACGGAGGGAGTATAACTACACAACCACGCGCCCAGGACTCATTTCCAAAAGGGGTCCATAAATCAAGAAAGATTTGTAAACCGCGCTTCCTACTCCACTACGCCGATTTGCTAAGCACAGAAACTTTACTGACTTTTTCCCCTTCACCATTCCTATATATGAGGAGTACTCAACTCTTTCATTTCTTCACAATTCTTCATAATTTCTTCTTCTATTAATTCTCTTCCTCTAAGTGTGGAGAATGTAGTGGTGTTGTCTGGAGCGTGTGAGGTCGTCGTCGAGGTTGGTAGTAATCGTCGTCGGAATTTTCCCAAAATCTCCAATTTAGCCCGAGATAATCTCTTAGATATATCTAGTGTTTAAAATGTTCATATAGATCGTTTGAACGTTTATAAACGGTCGTTTGGTTGAGTTTTGTGTTTGACATGTTTGAAGAACCAAAAATCATAAATCTTGAAATTATTGTTAATTAAATCTTCGAATTAATGATACCAAAATGATATGATCTATGAACTTTGGATAAGATTTCTATAAAGTTGAATTGAAGTTTGATGGCTAAAAATGAAGTTTTCAAAAATTGGCCCGAAATTAAAGATACCACTGTTCAAACCTAGCGCAGACATGGTATCGAGCTACCGCCCAAACGGTACCAAGGTACCCCTTGAACGGTAGTACGTCCACACTGTCACTAACAGTAGAAAAGAACTGTCACAAGCCAAATTTCTCTGGCGGTACCTGACACGAGGCGGTACCCCATAGCTTCTGATGGTACTGAGGTACCGTGCACCGGTACCAAGATACCGTAATAGGTACTGTTCGATCGATAAATTTCCACAAACTTGATTTTTGATCTGTAAAATCCTATTTTTATACCATACAACTAACTATAAATCAGTATGAATATCATTTCCAAACTAAACATAATATTTTGATAAATCTCAAAACTTTGTGTGATGTATGACAGTAAGCTAGGGTGTTAACACTTGATATTAGGCTCTATTTGTTATGAAATGTTATCATGTTATTGATTATTGATGATGATTTTTGAACCATGATTAAAAACACAAATATCCTTATTAAAATAATGAATATTAAGGCTATATAGAAGAACTTTCGCGGAAAAGAGAACTCTCTCACTAAATTGTACACTCTTGAGACAGAATAAGAAATATAATTCGGACTGAGGAGTTCTTTCCTAGTCTAGGTCATTACGAGCATTTTTACTTTCGTGTTTTACGATCCTGGTAGAATCTGTTTGTTTAGGTCAAACTTACCCGGTCATATTTAAACCATCATTTTTTGACGCCGATCGTGGGACCCGTTTGTGAAACTTTATTGACTGGTCAAAAATTCACTTAACTCTCTGTCCACAATCATGTCTACAAGTAACCAACCGATTGTTTCTGGCCAAGCTACGGGTGATAACATTCCTGTTATCCCGCTAACCGTAGCAAGTGTAGGAGCAACCTTTACTCTGATTAATTCTGAAGGATCACCGGCGACGATGCCTATCATGTCAACCCCTTCACCGATGCCGAGAACGACATGTAATCGTATCAACTTTTCTCGCCATGATTTGTCTAACGTACGTCAATTGTGGACGGGAGAAGTCGTTGATTGATTTAGGCCTAGGCCCAGCTCCATAATTGTACCCTCTGTTGGCCCGATCTTTATCCACGCTAGAACATTAACATCGCGTTGGGCTCAAATTGCCCAGACGTTCCAAAAAGCATATTGGGTCGATCCTTCGAATCTGCTAGGCTTGATATCCATCACATGATATATGACATCAACGGTTTATCTCTAAAGCAACCCAATTGCTATTTCATCGGTCCAAAAGGTGGAATCGCCCACCCCAGGCGCCCCCACCCCCTTGCCCGACAGGAATGGTGGAGGATGTAAATCATGGTGACTCAGTCGGCCAAGAACGCTAGACCCGTGCCCACCGCGCACAAGGAGCCTCCTCACCCTTTATGGGATTTTTGGATAGCTCCCACACTGCCGCTTGCGGGACTCGATCCCTGGTCATCGGTCCAAGATTTCACGCTCTTGACCAACTGAGCTACCCATGCGGGCNTCGATCCTTCGAATCTGCTAGGCTTGATATCCATCACATGATATATGACATCAACGGTTTATCTCTAAAGCAACCCAATTGCTATTTCATCGGTCCAAAAGGTGGAATCGCCCACCCCAGGCGCCCCCACCCCCTTGCCCGACAGGAATGGTGGAGGATGTAAATCATGGTGACTCAGTCGGCCAAGAACGCTAGACCCGTGCCCACCGCGCACAAGGAGCCTCCTCACCCTTTATGGGATTTTTGGATAGCTCCCACACTGCCGCTTGCGGGACTCGATCCCTGGTCATCGGTCCAAGATTTCACGCTCTTGACCAACTGAGCTACCCATGCGGGCCCCAATTGCTATTTCATTTGTCTATTCCTGTACGTTGTACCCCTAGTATAATTTAGGTTTAAATTTAACATTAAATATTTAAACTCTTGAGTAAGAACTACATACTTTTTTTAAAGTCCATAGAGTGGAAAAGGTACTTAAAAACCTATTCAAATAAATCAGTAAAAAAACATTTTTAAACGCAATAACTGAGAAATAAAAAATAATTTTAGTTGTAACTCTACAAAATACAAAAAAGAACGTTATTTAACCATTTAAAAAAAATTCATTGAGTGCGCCAACAAAATATTTTTCACTTACATTTCATAATTGTCCGTAAAAAAACGCACATAACTCAAAATTGTACGTCTTCCTCTTCTAAAAGTCAAAACATAAAATGTTTTGTGAGACGGAGTAAGTAAATACTCCTTCAGTCCAAATAAAAATTTGAGTAAAGATCTCCGAAGTTGAGTTTTGATAGTTTTTAAGGAAAGTTAAAAAAAACAATTAAAAATTTATCAAATGAAAAAATGAAATCGAAAAAAAATAAGAAAATCCTCTAAATAGGAGTAAAACATTAGGCTTATACCCAATATAGGAGTCCATAAGTTAAATACCCAAAATAGGAGTTCTTTAATCCCTTTAGTAACCTGCCTCTTTGAACCGATCAATCTCTGCTCTTTCTTCCACTCCCTCTCTTAACACGACCACACCCATCATTTCTCTCTCTTAGCATGTACTGGTGTGTTTTATTTCCAGTTTTTAGAGTCAATTTCTAGTGCTTAATGTTTTAGCCATTTGTTTATGCTTCGATCATTTCTTTTTTTTGAATTACAAATGTTTAGAAAGAGTCAATCTACTTCATAACCAGAGGTTTTTTTAGTTTGATTTTTGTTTGGAATTAGATTATCCAAGGTTAGCACAAGCTCCATATTTCTTTCTAACAGAGTAAACATTATGTATTTTGATTGACATTACCCAATGACATGTTTGTTAGTATGCGTTGTCATATTTGGTATTGTGGCTTTGTTTGGCATTGTATTAAAAACTCTTTTTCTTTAGCAGTGAAACTGTGGCCTACAAACATTGTAATTGCATCTTCGTTGGGTTGAGGTTTGTTTTTGCAATCAATTTTGTATTCAATTATATCTTTTTGTTAATTAAGGTGCTTGATTTTTGTTTCTAAGTTAGGCAAAACTTGGTAAAGTCAATTGAAACTTGACACTGAGAATTGGCAAAATTAACATTTTCACTTTCTGTTTGACATTATACATTTACATGTTCAGCTTTATGCATGGACATGTTTGCCACTATACATTGTCATCTTTGACATTGTGGCTTTGATTGACATTGTATTTAAAGTTTTTTTCTTGACAATGGCACCATGGCATTGTGGGAATGACAAAGGCACACCGTTTTGGTTCCAACTTGACGATGGCAAAACGTAGTGGTGACAACAACGGTAGGAAATGGAGATCGCAGCGGCAACTTATGGCAACACTAACGACGGGTGCGAAGCATCTTTAGTGGCAATTGGGGTGCCGACGTCGCAGGTGGTAGCATGGCAGAATTAAGCGGCTAAACTAGGAGCAAAATAGGACTAATTCGGTTAAGGATCAAACTAGGCCTACCGACAAATAGAGATGGCAACAGCAAACTATGACATCACACAGCTCGGGCGGTGGCATCATCGGCAGCGGATGGGGTGCCGGCAACGGCCTGACACATTTGAGCGGCCATGGATGGATATTTTGACAGTTGAACGGCATGGCAAATTGAGCAGCGGCATGACATAATTGTGCATATAAGAGTGTAAATCGTACTTCTGTCTCGTGTTTAACTATTTTAGAACATGCACCTTTAAGGATAAAATGTACTATGAGCCTGTTTGGGAATAGCGCTAGCGATTAGCGTTAGCGTTTTGAAAAGGCTATCTACGTGCAGCGTTAGCGTTTTCAAAGTAATCTGCACCGTTAAAATTTTATCAAAACGCTGACGCTAATCTCTAACGCTATTCCCAAACAGGTCTTATGTAATTTAAATATTTTTTTGTTCAGAATAAATTTGAGGAGCTGAAATGAATATGCAATTAGTGTGCATCCTCCCCTCTATGACTGCTTTTTTTAATGGTAATGTTTATGACTTTTAAGATGCCACTTTTATCCGATCAATTGGGCATTGCACATTTTTATGCTGGATAGTTAGTTGACAAGTATAAAAAAATCTTCAGTCACTATTATTTTTCTCTCCGTGACAACTTAAACACAATAATAATGCCAAAAATTGAGAAAGAAATTAGCTAGAAAGGAGTGCATTAGAAGATTAAATAGATTAATTGATTTAATTACTCCTATTTAAGGGAGTTTATGTTTCAACTCTTACTTTAAGAATATAACATATGTTTTACTCCTAGTTTGGTCCTTTTATGTATTTGGGGAGACCTTTGCCAGACGAAGGAAGTAATTTATACTGTATCACGTTCGTATTTATAAAAAAAGGTAATGCACACCTATAAATGAATTGGATGTACATTTATTTTTCACCATGGGAGGCCCGGAGGGTGTGCAAAGTGGCCAACCGCACAGGGCACCTTAAAATTTAGAGCACTATATTTTTAAATTTTTTAATAATTTTTTTTGAAAGCAAAATGTAAATTTTAGACCGGGCCAATTTTATTTTTTCATTTTTCGAGCCGGCCCTGTTTTTTACGGTGATATTTATTTATGTACAGAGTTTTTTTTTTGGGAAGTTGGTGGTTTGTTTGGCAACAAGTTTAGTGTCTAGATTTGGTATTTTGATAGAGCTATCGAATAATAATAAAGTTTAAGTTTAGTATTTTTGTAGATAATATGTAATATTAAAAAAAAAGTTAATGTTAATGTTATTGCCAAACAAGACGTAAAAGAAAAAAAAAGATCTGGGTCGATCGCTGTAGGGACTAGGGAGTATGAAATAAGATTTCTTCGGGGTCGAAGAAGAAGCAAGACGACGATGGGTATTCTTCATAACACCATTTTCTATTTGCATTATTGGGAATTGGGTATTAAATTCACTATTAAATTCACTGGACAGGGAAATCAAGTTTCTATTGATGAGATTGGGCGTGTAATAAGGAGCATTATATATTTTAGTTCAAATTTGTTTGAAATGATGGGGAAGGAGGAGGTGTACACTATGAATTCTGAGAGCGTGGCCTTAGATGTCTCGTTAAGACACTAATGGAGTGCGATGTTCATATTAGGGCTCAAGGTGAAATTACTCCTTCAATTGAATTCACTGAGAGCTTCAAAGTCCTTCAAGTCTACCTTGATTTTGGCTTCCATACCTTGACAGAAAGTATTGATACACAAGCAGTTTATGGGTTGATTTTTAATGTGCTCTTCCAGCTGCGTGCTTGTCATGTCATACCTTATCCGGAGGTCTGGTCTTCATCTCACAAAAGACCAGAAGAGGCTTGACAAGGCTAATATGTTTGTGCTAGAGGCTAACAACTTGAGGGAGGCTTCAACTTGGATATTAAACAACAGGGATGTTTTTGACCATACCGTTCCCTTTTGGGACGCTGAGAGGTTGATAATAGCATTGGTGGTTTATTCAAAGGGGGGGGGGGGGGGGGGGG